GACTACGACCCAGCGTCAGGAGAAAGCTACGACTTTGACAGGTTTGTGTGGGCACATTATTCTCTGCTGCGTTAAAAAAAGAAGCACAGTGTGATGATTTAAGAAGCAGGCTGCATGTGAGGAGAATTTATTAGATTACATTAAACATACAGAAATGGAAACAGGAAAAGAAGATGGTAAAAATTCATGTTTATACCAAAACCTCTGAGCCTCAACTACATCACACATCACCACCTCTCCACACAGTGACTTCAACATCCACGCAGGCCCAGTGGACACGGCCTTCATCGTGGACCATCTTTCATACAAATCCCCTTTCTCTGACGAGCTGCTGGTGGAGGACCTGAGTCTGAAAATCAGCCAGGGAACTCATCTGTTGGTGGTGGGGAACACGGGCACCGGCAAGACTTCACTGCTGCGGGTCCTCAACCGTCTCTGGGAAGCACACAGCGGTGAGAGCAGAAGAACTGAGACTGTTTGGCTTAATTTGATCTTTTTTTATTATTGTATTAACTCTTTAGCAAATCAGGAGAAGCGAAGACGGCACAAAAAAGGGCAATAATAACAATGCATAACATGGGTGGGGGGGGGACTAAGAATGATGGGAAAAATACATAAATAACAAAGAAAATGAGATTTGTATATGGCAAGTATGAACATGAAAAACAGATCATAGTTTTACACGGATGTTGTCATGTATTGTTGAGAACTCATCAGTACTGCACTTCACTGACTTGAGGAACAATAGCAACAACAAAGGTTCCATTACTTTAAATTTTATGTTTTTAAAAAGCCACGATATGGGGGTAAATAAATTTACTAGCTTGTTTTTGTTTATTTATTTATTTTGATAGGGAGAGATATGAGAGGGTAGTGTAAAGCCATCAAATAGAAACTGTAAAGCACAAATACATTCATTCAGCTGTCTGTCCTTCATTTTTCCTCAGGCTTTGTCCAGATGACCACCTGCTTTGGGCCCAGAGGAACGCTCTTCCTGCCACAGAAACCCTACCTGACCGATGGCACTCTGCGTGAGCAGGTCTCTTCTTATTGTGCTGTTTTTCTACAAATTTTGTCTTTTATATAAAGCGCTGATATGTTTATATCTAAAAAAAAAAAAAAAAAGAAGAAGAAAAAAAGAAAAACTTTTGGTCATTTACTGAAACACTTGTTTCCAACAGGTGATCTACCCACTGAAGGATATTTACCCTGCATCAGGTATTGTATTAAATGTGATCAACAGCTAATTAGCCAGAGGAAAACTACTCTATTAGTTAATCTGTGTGTGTGGTGTATTTTGTTGGGACAGAGGCAAGCTCATCACTGTGTTACATCTGCCTTTCTTTTAAAACAACACCTTTAAGTGTGTCAAAACTGGGGAGAACGGTTGCTGCAGTTTTGAATGTGGAAGGACTCATTGTCCCTGTGCCACTTAGTGTCTCAGCTGCTCAGCGGTTTGGGCCTTTCCTTTGTTGTAATCTTTGCTACAAATGCTGTCGGTGGCAGGCAGGACAGCACTGCACTTAGTTTCTTTTGCTTCCTTTGCATCTTGCTGAAATCATCAAGATTCAACAGCTTTATTGTCAGTACAGTAGTATACACAGTATACAGTGTACTGAAATGCTGCTCACCCTAAACCCCCATGGTGCATTTATAAATATATAAAGTATATATCTCCAAGAGATATAAATTACAAATAAATAACATGCTAGGTTTTGGTAAAATTAGGGCTAAAAAGGTACTAATTACTAACTATACAATTCTATACAATACTATAATGGTAACTATACAATATTAACTGTACGATAAACAAAGACAGGACAGAGACAATACAAAGTGGAATGTGCAGCAGGTATTGAATACCAGTTTCAAGTTATCGTTAGGATATTATTGACGAGACATGACAAAGACGTGCAAAATGTGCAAATATAATATAATTTAGATGTGTGTTCAGAACTATGTGACTGAGTGTGCAAATAAGCATATTGTTCCCAGGTCCAGTTTGTAGTGGATTTGTGGAAGTTTTTGTTTTTGAGTCTTTTGATGAGTATTGTAAGGTGTTTGTAGAGGTGTATGTTTATATCAGTCCTTTTATGGTAGTGAGTTGAGGGCTCTGACTGCTTGGGGGAAGAAGCTCTTGCAGTGTCTGGTCATTACGGTTTTAATGCTGCAAAACCGTCTGCCAGATGGAAGGAGGGAGAACAGTGCATGTGAGGGGTGGAAAGTGTCCTTCACTATGCTGTTCGCACGTCGGATAATGTGTCTGTCATAGAGTTGGGAGATGGATGTGAGAGGGCCTCCAATGATCCTCTCTGCTGTCCTCACTATCTGCTGCAGAGACTTCTTTTCAGTTAGCGTGCAGTTCCCATCAATGCATTCTCTGCAGTTTTTTTTCCTGTTTTTTTTGACTGATTACACAGGACAGTTTGTCTGTGCTCTTTGACAACAGTTTCCATGTTTCTGAGTACATGAATTTAAACTACACTTTAATTCTACAAGTTCTTAAGTTGAAGAAAGCTCAGCCTCTCTAAAGAGCCCTCTTTAAGTACCTCAGGATCTTCTATTGTAAATTAACCTCTTTAGCAATGAGCTGTTCAACCAAATCCAGGATCAACATATTTTTATTTTTTACAAATATATTGTGTGTACGTGCGCGCGCGTATTTATTTTACTGAGGATCGTTGATACTAAATGGCAGTGCTGTAGAGAATTCAAGAAAAAACAGAATTATATGTCATGTTTTCAGGGTCGGTGGATGATGACAGAATTATACAATTCTTGGAACTAGCCGGAGTGGTGAGATAAATTCTGCTTTCATCTCCAATGCATGTTATTTCGTGAAATTACTTCTCATTTTCACTCATGCTAAATAAAACCTTGATGTGTGTGCAGTCCAGTCTGCTGAAACGGACGGGCGGGCTGGATGAGAAAGTGGATTGGAACTGGTAAGAAACAATTAAAGAAGTAAAACTGTGTAATACTTCCTCAAGCTTGTTTTTGTTCTCTGCAGGTATGATGTTCTGTCTCCAGGTGAAATGCAGCGTCTCTCCTTTGCACGACTCTTCTACCTGCAGCCCAAATATGCAAGTATGCTCCTCTGGATACTCACTAGAGCATCTCATAAGAAAACATGCATGCACTGATGAAGTTTTTAGTTGTGCTGAGTGTGTGGTTCAGGTGAGCTGAGGCTGTTTGCTGTGTTTACTGGACTGATGTGTTCTAGACTGCAACTTTCTGGTGTTTGAACTTTAGTTTTAGATGAAGCCACTAGTGCTTTGACCGAGGAGGCAGAAGCACAGCTGTACCGAACTTGCAAACAGCTGGGCATGACTTTGGTCAGTCTGGGACATCGCAGCAGCCTGGAGAAGGTAGGCCAAACATCCCGACTCCAGTTAGGATAACTGGTGGAAATTACAGCCTGCACACTCAAAACGTTTGCTTTAGTCACTGTTGTTGAGCAAAATCCCAGTAAGTGGGTTGCTTTGTATGACTCTTCCACATCTCCAAAAAGAGAAAAGTTGATCAGCAATACATTCTTGTGGCTTAGTTTCACCTGCCTTCGCTTACCTTGTTCTCAGATCTGTCCAACTGTTACTACATTATGTGAAACTTTGTTTTTCCCAGTACCATGATGTCCAGCTGAAGCTGTGTGGAGAAGGCCGATGGGAGTTAACAAAGTTAAAAGGAGCTAGCGGAAACCTCAGTCTCAGAGATGAAACAATGTGACTGCGGCCATCTATTTGAAATGCTTTAACCAGTGTCTATGTTTACACAGTGTCTTTAGAAGAGTGTAAAAATTCTTCCTAGAACCAAATCAATCAAACTAATCCACTATTAACTTTTGATTTTTAGTGTGTGGACTAAAAAAGAAAACTGGAATTTCACCCAATCACTTCTTGGTTCTGTTGCTTTTGTGTACGCCATCTGTTATCCCCAAAAATGGCAGCTTCTAGACTGACCTGGTCTTCAGTGGAGACGGTGCTTTTAATCTAAATATTTTTAAGAAAAAGATAATAATCGAACACATGCTGAAGAGATAAGGTATATAGATGTGGGGTGTACTGTAAGGCTGTGATTACATTGTATTAAATGATAGATGATGTTGAGTCAATAGTATATCAGTGTGGGAATAAGGAACATAAAGGGTCCTCGCCGTGTCACTCGCTAACGTTCCAGTGCTCTCAGACAGCACACTTTGTTCTGTTAACAGAGGTACTTTAATAGTTTGAAGAAGGCTTGTGTGTCACACCACTCAAAGTTCTGGTCCCACATAAAGTTCACATTTTAAGATAAAAACAAAAACAACTCTGTAAATCTTTAATGCATTTATGTGACTTTACAGTAGCTTAGTGTACAACATTTCCAATGGGAAAGTGGTTATTACTGTGTAATAAACAGACTTTCACACAATATTCTTTTTAATTCCTACTAAGAAATGTCGGTATGTCTGCTCACATGAAAATTGGTATATGTCATGAAGGCAAGCAAAATTATACCTTCATACTATGATCCCAGCTTGAAGTACATCAACATTTTGTGCTTTTTAATTCACATTATTCCTTCTAGCATTTTTGAGCCATCACATGCCATCTCCTACCTAATATATGAAATTTGAAACAATAGAAAATTAGTTTGGACCCAAAGAATCACTGATAGAAAAATCATCCTATCAAAATGTAGGCTAAAAAGAGACCTCTCATATGTAGTAAATTCTTTCAGCCAGACTCTAATCCCACATGGTGATACGACCCTTTAAAGTTTACCTAAAGTTCACATTTTGAGCTTCTCTGTAGCAAATTATCACCAAGCAATGCTTTTTTCCTGTTATTGTGTCATAGACAATAATTTGGTGCAATTTTTTCTCTGACTCTATACCACCTCTTGCGACATTGAAGCTCAAGGTTAGAAAAATTGTGCTGAACAAAAACAAGATTTTGGCTTTAGAGTTTGAATTTTTGTGTAAAATTAACTCATTTGCAGTTTTTAAATTGTCAAATTTGACATTGACATTTGTTTTTCCAACCCCGAAAATTCCATGTTTCCCTTTCTTAAAGGGGATATAACTTGTAAAATAGTCCAAAAATTGAAATTTCATCTGGCTTCATTAAATAACATTATTTGGTAAAAAGTTCTGGGAGGTTAGGTGGGAACTTTTTAAAGGTTTTGTGGGTCTGGTTTATCTGGAGAGTGTAGACAGATTTTAAAAGAGCCTATCGGAATGATCTGGCAATTAAAAATATGTTTTCATACAAAGGCACAGGTCTGGTTCATGAAAATGGAGTGCAACATGCAAGCTTTCCATGTGCACTCTTCTCTCCTTCAGAAAACACCTTATGGTCCATTTTTACTCAAGAGTTTCTCGTGACCTTGAATGATCTCCTGAACTGCTGCAGGATCATCCAGAGTACTGAGGTCGCCCAAACCCTCCAAGTCACTCTCCACAACTTTACGCAGCACCCGTCGCATTATCTTACCCGAGCGGGTTTTTGGCAGACGCTTGGCAAACTGTGACAAACACCAACACAATGAGAAGTTATTACATAAAGTCAGATCATGACTGCCAGCATGTGCAAGTCAGCACTACAAAATTACCTGGATGAAATCCGGAGAAGCGTACTTGGCGATCTTTTCAGATACCATGCCGTTTAGCTGCCTCGACAAGTCTGCCTCTTGTACATCGATGCCTTTTTTAAGCACCACAAAGGCGTAGACACCTGACGATGCAAAAATCACACATTTATCTGCTACATTTAGCAAAACACATTGCTGACTGATTTACACTGAAAGGAACTGTGCTGAGTTTCTTACCTTGTCCTTTGATGCTGTGTGTATACCCTACGACAGCAGATTCAGCCACTGCAGGACACTGATTCTGTTTACAGAAGTCACAAACAGGATAAATTCAGCATCTTCATACTTTGTGGTTCTTCTAAAAAGGCATTAAACTATTGATTAAAAAAATAAATAATTAAACAACAACCATATAGTGCATCTGATACATCAGCCAATATGTTTTTTCTTTCAGATACAGTAAACCTGAACAGATTTATAGCATTTGTAATATGTAGTAATTGATTTACTCATTTTGGCTCCGCCCACCTCTACTCGAATTGGCTGTTTATTGTATTTTGGGGCTTTCCAACTGAGAAGTTGAAGATTGCCCTCTGGTGGACACAATGTGCAATGTCAACAACATGTTTGAAGGGCGTCTTCTTTTGTTTTCTTTTTCTGACCGTTATAAATGCCAATATTTATAGATGGGCAAATAGTTAATATTGATCTATAACATCAGCGAAGTGATGAGCTGATAATTGAGCTCTACAGCGCATTACTATTTAGGCTGTGGGCTGTAGCCGGACCATGCTCCCATCAGCAGTGATGCTCCTCAACATAAAAGTCAGGTCAGTTTTACAGAGAAATGGAAGATTGCTCTGGGGCTCCCAGAGAAAGATGCATTGTGAGCTTAATAAGGACTCAACTTTAAAGATGACGTGTTTTTCGCTTTTTAAACTCAGAGCTGTGAACCTTGTTTAATCAGGTATCTTTGAGCTTTTGAAATGCAAGACATTCAAGTTAATCAGTTATTGGCCTTACCACTACGTCCTCTATCTCTGCTGTCCCTATCCTGTGACCGCTCACGTTAATGACATCATCAAGGCGGCCAGTGATCTGGTAGTACCCCTCCTCAGACCGATAGGCACCGTCACCAGTAAAGAAGTAACCTATATTATGTGCACCAGTACAGAAGGATTTAGAGACTGTACATTTCTCTTTATGTGAAAACAGACATTAAGAAAACAGAGGCGGTCTGTTCCTGAACTCGTAAAACTGTACCAGGATAAGGCTGGAAGTATGTGTCAATAAATCTCTGGTGGTCTTTATGAATGGTTCTGGCCATACCAGGCCAAGGTTGAGCCATACACAGGGCTCCGGATGTGTTGTTGGAAGTCAGCACTTCGCCCTGAAGAAATCCAAAAACAATGTTAACCAGAAAACAGTGTTACAAGACTTCTAAACCATTCCTAGGACACACAGAAACGCTACATTAAGCCTCATTTAGCTCACTGGATGATTTTTATTTATTTTTTTGCTATGTTTTGGTTATGAGAAGCAGAAAAAAAAAAAGACTGGCTCAGGGACATCACTCCAACTGTCAGCACAATCTGTGCTTTGCAAATGCTAAAGCAACCTCAATCAGCACAAAACAGAGCGACAGATTTTTAATAGGGAGTTTGGCATGCACACACTTGGCCTGATCGTGGGAGTGGGATGAGTATCAAAATTGACACAGCTGGTGGCTATTTTATAATCCTAATCTGACCCCATCTCCCAGGTCGTTCCCAGCCATCCAACATTTGCAGGAACAGCACACACACACACACACACCTACCTCAGTGTCCATAAGCACCGGGTTAATGCCAAAAAAGGGTCGCATAGCCATTCCTGGGACAATCTCTGCGTCTGGGTCTGATGGCCTTGGTGCGATGCAGATGCCACCCGTCTCTGAGAACAGAGCAGAGCGAGTAAAGTGTAACTATATTTCAACATTTTCCTTCATATTACTCTGCCCTGTCCCTCACACTCAGCCCAAAGCCAACTGGTTAGTGTATATACAAATCTTTAATAAGCTTTCCAGACAGACACATTTAGTGAATTTAATAGTACAAAGGAATAAATTACATCCCGCTGTTAGCTATGGCAATTATTATTAGTTTTATTATAAATTTTATTTTAAACTTGGTAGAGATGTTCCCCAAGGATCCGCACTTGGCCCAGCGATGTGCTCAGTATACATCGTATTTCTCTGCTTAGGCCCATTGATTTAAACAGTTTTTGCCAATTTAATGTTGCTCAGAGGATTTTGTTTTATTTATTAAGCCACTTAACACTGATCTATGAATCATTCAAGCATAAAAGGTACCTAACTCAAGGGATGAACCAGTGTTGTGTCTACACACAACAGACAAAGAACCAATTTTAGGCACTTTTTAGTAGCAGCATACCAAAGTTAACACACTTTGACACACACAAAACAGCATTTTTAAACTCCCAAAGAGTTATTAGCTGAAAACCTGATATTTATTGCCATGACGTGAATTATGTTCTTTAAAAAATTGAGGAAATTCAAAAGGAAGACCTGACATAGCACCTGGATTTTAAAAAATGGTCTAAGTGGAAGGTTGATTGTCAAGAGGTCCTTCTTGAGGAAGGGAAACCTCAACATTATTGAAGGCATGTAGGATCATCTTAACAGACAGCAGAAAAAAGGCAGCCGACATCTAAAGAAAAGCTTTGAATGTCATCCAAGAAGAAAGTTTGACGAAGAGAGTTCAGGCTGTGAACTGAAGAACTGAAGAATAAAGGCGGTCATATCACTTGTACGAACTCTGTTTTTGCCTAATATACTGCATTCCCATACATGTTGTCATAGTTCAATAAATCGCAGTTTGTGAATCTACTGTAAGCCCTTCTCATTGCTACAGATGTAGATTGTGGAATTACAGCCATACTAAGTAAATTAAATGCTATTAGGTCTGCGTGGACATCAGGGACCTCTGGTAATCCTCCTGGTGGTGTTGGTAGCAACAGAGGGGACTTTCTACAAAATAGGACACAACAGATGATTCGACAATAGCATTAGCCACTGCCATCCTGTTTACATCAGCTGTAACTGTGAGAGTTGTTGCTTCACAGTCCCAAGAAACAATGTGATTAACAAAAACAGTCAAGGTCGAGCACACAGGCAGTTAAGTATAAAAACCGGAGACAGCAAGCCCGGCTTCCAGTTTGAATTTTGCTGACGTTGGACACAACTTTGTTATCTCTTTTTCCAGTGATTAGATGGCATCATGTGTCTGAAAGTTTAAATACACTAAGTTATTTTCCCCCTTCATTTGCGCTGATTTAAGCTACTTTTCAACCTCCCATCATCCTCTGTCCTCTCACCTCTCCAGTCCTGGATCATCCTACATGGAGGCTGTACGCCAGCAACGGCTCAAAATCCATTTTCCTCTCTAAACAGGCTACTTGCTTCCAGATCAACCAAATGGCATTTATGAATAATGCCACTTAGCCCTAATTGAAAACACCGCACCATGAAAATAACATAACAACATAATCCTTTTTACAGAAGTAGGGTATTTAGGTCATATCTGTGTCTGTAATTCTCAAGCTCATGATGCTCTAATGTTTAATTATCGTCAATTAATTATGGACTTTTGCCATTTGTATGGTAATTAACCCTGCTCTGCACCATTAGGTCATTACGCAATCTAATGAAGAGATAACTGATATTATTAGCAAAATCAGCTGATTATCTAACATGATGTTATTATGTCCCATCCAATGCTACACTTGTGCAGCATTTTGGAGTCTTTCAGTCATCACACAGCTGAAGGACACGTTTATTTTGCAAGTTCTTCTTTCCAGTGGAAACTTCTGCATAAATTCTGCAGTCACAACATGTGCATCCTGCTGTCGAAACAAGCTAACTGCCACAGCTGACCAATAAAAAGGAAGGGGGTAGACGTTTCTGCTACCTTCTGATAACCCTATGTAAAAGAAAATAAAGATAAAAAAGCAATTGTGTGAAAGAGTAGAAAAGAAAACTTATGAGCACATTTTGGTTTGGAGCTTTAATAGGTTAAAATAAAATATAATAAATAGGATGAAGCAGCAGTGCCTGCCTGATAAACCGGTTCTGGCTACATCCTAGCTTCCTGTTTGTTTGTTTGTCTGTTTTTTGTATATTTGTCACACTTACATCTTTTAGATCAAACAATTTAATATTAGACAAAGTTACCTTGAGGGTAAATACAAAAAATGAGGTTAATCACAGTTAATTCATGATTTAACAAGCCGGGTGCAATTGCTTTTCAACACAGGGTCAGATAGCTTTAGATAGCTTTGTTCCTTTAATAAATTAAGTCAGAATTTATAAACTGCATTTTGTATTTATGATGGTTTTATTTGTATAATATTACAATTTGTTTAATTATTTGAAGCATTTAATTGTGACAAATAGGTAAAAAGAAAAAAAATTAGGAAGGGGGCAAATACTTTTTCCACAGCACTGCAAGTGTGTCTTAACTGTGTGTACACAAACAAGAAGGATGTACAAAAGCAGCACTTTTGTTCTGATATCTGCCAAAATTACAGAACCGAGCGTAGGCGGGCTGATGAGACATCTGTGTGGGAAAGGTTGATCTCAGCACTCCAAGTAAGGCCACAAGGCAGACAAGTTAGCATGTTTGTTGACGTGAGCAGAATAAATTGGTGAAACTGAGACTCGTCAAGTTTATCCTAACATTTTGTGAAAGTCCAACCTGTTTTTACGTTTGGATACTCACTACTGGAGTCACATGATTTTGGTTTGGCACCACAGACTAGTACACAGGAGAAGTGCATCCTCTTCAGATCTAAATGTCCTTATCCCCGCTTTGGTGGTGGATGACTTGAGTGTTAAAGCCATTGAATTTTCTTCTTTTTTTCTTTTTAAAAAAAAATCTCATTCCTTTGGTTTCCTGAACCGCTTCTGGAATAATCTTTAAGTCTGAGAAGAAAACATGTGGTTTGATTTTTAACTCCTAAGAGAAGAGAAAATGTCTCTCTCCCTCTCGGTCTCTCACACACACACACACACATTACATAACACTGTTATTACTACAGGGACTCCGGCAGCTTATCTCCCCTTTAAGATGGACTGTTTTAGTGTCTGCAGACGTGGCTGTGTTTGAGGAGGAGTTCATGACCTTACAGTAAGTTCCCATTGTGGAAGGATTAGGAATGAGGAATGTTCTAAGACTCGCCATGAAGCATGAAAATTCAATGTGAGCACAAAAAAGGAATTATTACAGATCAGTTAGAGAATACAGGGCAATATAAGGAGAGTAGGACAGACTATACACTCACATCCTATATAACATTTATAGACCATGCTTGGTTTGGTGATGACTGAGTTTTTCCCAGCACTAATGAACCTGACAGCAGCAATATAGCACTACAAACACAAAGGAAAGTGAAGGGCGTACAAATTATTTGAGATGAAATAAAAATTGATCTAAACCTCAAACTGTACACATCTGTATCTCATTGTTCTATACATCATTTGAGAAGTATGATCAACGGCTCTTTACAGGCTGGGATTCTCGCCGTTTCTCTCAAATGTGCTGTAATCACATCGCTACGCAAGAAACAATAACTTCAATCCACTGATTGTTAATAATTACCAGTTATTAACTGCAAATAACTTAGGACACCAAGGTCCAGCTGACTCACTGGTATTTTTAACCAGCCTTACTCTCTTTGGTTGTTTCATACAAACAGCTGCATTAAAAAAAAAAAAATACAGAACTTTGTAACTTTACTCTTTCCAATAATCTAATATTTAAATTTCTAAAGTATCCAACTGAGTTTGTGCTACTGTTAAATGTAGTGTAGTGTTGTAAAATATGGTGTAGTGTTGTAAAATGTGGTGAATAAACCTGTCACTTCTGTGTGTTCAGTTACCGGTCTGCCACCAGGTGTCCACCACAGGACAGCGTCCGTCCCCGACTACTCTGTGGTACCACTCCCATGCTTCGGTGTTGATCGGCTCGCCCACTGCAGACAGACAAGAATAGCTTAAAACATACGGTACTGTGCAAAAGTATTCAGCCACCTGTTATTTCTTTGCTTCCATGGAGCCAGACTTTCTTTGGGAGCAGACCGGTTCAGTCCAGCTCTTGAGTCATTCGGCAAACTTTAGCCTTTTCTCCGTGTTTCCCCTCATCTTGACTTACTTAAGGAGGACACACTACACACCATGCTAAGATTTGGCAAGTTATTGGCTAATAGCTCTTTATGAGTAATCTTGTTGGCGGAAAAACAGTATTTTATGCCCGTCAAAGTGTGTTATAGTTGGCATTTTAGATTTGAACAAAGAAATTGGGACAAAAGATTTTTTTGTGACAGGCTGCTAGTAACAAAGTGCCTAAATATACAATTTAAAATCGGCTCTTTCTAAGTTGTCTGTTATGTTTAGACGCAACACTGGTTCATCCAATGAGTTTTGTGCCATTTTATAGTTAAATGAGTCATAGGGCAGTGTTAAATGGCTTAGGAAACAAACAACCAAAAAAAGAGGTACAAGGCCCGGACAGAAAATAAGTGAAAAAGCAGCCAGTATCCAAAGAAAAGCTTTAAAAGACCTTCAGAAATCTCGAAGAACTATTGCTCAAGAAAAAAAATGCTGGAAAGTCTTATTCAACACAAAGAAATTAGAGATGGCTTAAAACTTTTTACACAGCAACTCTCTGTCTATAACTGCCTCATGGCTTCATGTCTATTGCTACACAAATGAGAACCAGGTGAAAAAATACTTATTCTTTCTAAGCGTCCTGTTTCACATACCAGACCCGAGGGTTTTGAGGGTGGAGCGGTCGTACTTGTTCACCCACTGATCTCCATAATTAAGCAGCAGGCGGATTGCTGTGGGGGCCCCATAAAACTGGTTGATCTTGAGTCTCTCAACCATGTCCCAGTATCTTCCTGTGAACAAGGCAAAATGTTGATTTATTTTTAAAATTTTTGGGTTTAGGATAAAGCAGTAGCCTAAAAACCAAACCCTTAAACTGTTTTTTATATTTCTTTTTAAAAACCTATCACTTGAAGAAACTTTGCCTTTTTCCGTGCCAATAACGGCTCAAACAATGGAAAACTTTGCAGATTGTCATCTACATGTAGCTGTTTACTGTCACCAGGGGGCAGTGTCACAAACAGTCTGCACCTACTCTTGTTTGTGTTTTTATCAGTCCTTCAGCAAGCCATAACCAACAAAAGAGCCGAGTGTTTAACCAATCACTTTTCATGCTGCTTCTCCCACCATGTGAGAGACTCGGCTATCACTTCCTGTTCTGGCTTACTTTTCAGCCAATCAGCATTCAACCTGCATACAGTGTCAACCATGGGAAGCTACACACTGCTGGTTTTTCATATGACTGCATATCAATAATCCTTCACTCTGCACAGTCATAAAGCTATGCAAAGAAACGCAAACACGGTATCATAAATCCCTCACACAGCAGTTTGCTGCACCATCTTGTGGTGCAATCTGGAATTACACAAAGGTACACCCCAGCACTAGTTCAACTTCAGTTGATCTCTCTTTAAAACAATACATAGCATGAAATAGGAGCACTTGTTTCTTCACATAAGTTCATTTCGTCAGGTTTTAAACTATCATTAAACACAAAAATTTACAATAAAGTCTTTCCATCAAAGAAACATTTTACTTTTTATTTTGTGATAGTGGATTTGGACACCTCAAATCATAATTTCCATTTTGTTGTAATCATGTTCATACCTGGGTCTGGGTAAATAGGAGTGCTCTCAAACAGCACAGTGGTTGCCCCATTGGCCAGCGGCCCATAGACCACATAACTATGTCCCGTTATCCAGCCAATATCCGCCACACAGCCAAATACATCACCATCGTGGTAGCTGAAGACATACTGGTGATGACAGGGAATAATAAGAGGACTAGACAAGACAAAAACATAAAAATACTTTGAATATTCACTACCACGTGGCTCAATATTACACTAATATTTGACCCTTCTGAACACAGCAAAAATCTTGAACTGTCCCATCATGCAAAAAACATTTCAGAGAACCTCCTCATTTAATGCGCTGCAAACCAGGCTGAGATTTCCTCTCACACATAGTCACACGGAATTAGACATCACATTTTTGCCATTTATGCCCTTTGTTGGGAAATGGGAGCTAAACACTGTGTTTGCCGATAACGAAAACAGTGATTGTTTACCCTGTGTGTGAGCGCAGCATACAGAAGGTATCCAGCCTGCGTGTGGACAAGACCTTTGGGCTTCCCTGTGCTGCCAGATGTGTAAAGGAGGAACAGGACATCCTCGCTGTTCATGACAGCTGGCTCACACACAACATCTTCCTTTAGCATCTCCTGTACGATGCAGTGAATAAACACAGTTACCACACCATTTATATTTTTAAGGCCAGATCACAAGAAGACACAACAACCCGTGTTTAGATTTTGTATCTGTCACTGTGCCAGGAGGTCAGTAGAGCCTGTGCACAGTTGTTTGTTTGCTCATTGCAAACAAAACATATCAGATGTACTTGTGATCTAATTGCAAAAAATGAAGAGGAAACACATGCAATATAAGATGCAAAATGCGCATGCTAGTATTGATTGTTTTAGTTACTGATCAGATTTAAAAGAAACTCAC